GGCTGCTATCATCCATCAATTTCATTTAGAATTATACTATAGATCAATGCAGTTCAAGACCAGTGCGGCTCTTGTGAAGGGTTGACTGCACATATATTCATTTAATAGAGCTCACACTATGACATGTATTGGCCAGCTGCATTTCCTCCCCACTTCAGCAGTTAATTTCATCAATAACTTATCTCATAGCCTGTTTCCCTTTTATCCAGAAAAAGGGAGCGCTTTGTGCTAAGTCAGCTTTCAATAGTGATCACAACAGCAAAACTAAAGCAAGACCCCCTTCACTTTCAAATACTTCACCAGATTTGACTAAGTAACTTTAACTATATAATGAGATGCTGATAACTTCACTTAGCTGAGATATAAATAAGGAAGATTGATGTGATCAGAAAAAAGTTACACATAAAACCAACTCCCCCCTCCAACCCCTGCCCTTAAGAACCAAATATTTCCCACTGTGTGGGTCACGTGCTTCACCTTTTAAGCAAATTTGAGTCAGTAGTATATAAAACTCCTAAATTGAAAAAAAATAAGTATTTGAACAGAATATGTTTTAGATCAATATTTAAAAACACAAATATGTGCAATTTGTTCCAGCACAAATATGAGTAGGCAAAAAAACACATTCATGCAAGTCTCAAAAATTGCTATTCACTCTGTATTCAGTGATAAAGCTTTGAATAAAGTTTTACTCTTGTAAGTATTTAAACTCTATGCTGCTTAAATGAAAGTATTTAATGAAGTATTTACCAAAGAATTGTTGCTTATTGTAAAATAAAACTCCACAATTAATACATGGAATTTGTATGATTTTTTTTCCACAGAGTCAAGAATAAAGGTGAATAAGCAAATTAAGGTATTTCATTTTATACAAGAAGAAAACACAGATGATCATTTTCTAGGTAACATACGGTCCCCCAAGACCAGCGTGCAAAGTTGGATACAGTGAATATCTCTAATGTTTCTGCCTATACAGCGAAAATTTTGGAGTCAGACGAATTATAGTTTAAAGGTTGATCTAAACCAATTACACTGGGTTTAAAAAGTTCAATCATTCAAATAAAGTGGTGCAAACTTCATGTGAACAAATTGAAATGAATTTACAACTACCTAATACTCATTTAGTTTAATCAGTTGAAGCCAGGTGTAAATCAATTTAGAGTTTGATCATGCAAGGTGCCGTACCAATACAACTAAACTGATTTTTAAAACCATTTCAGTTGAAATCTGTATGCACAGCTACAAGCTTTAAAATGTGAGGATATACTGTCATTTATAAACAGATCGCTTACCCAGGTATGAAGCAAGAAAACATCTTATTGTTAGTAAGAAAGTTGTTTTCTTTTGAATATTCTTATCACTACTACATATGTTAACTAAAGAACAAATATTCAAAAACAGGTTTTTATCAGCTTTCTTAGTGAAACACATCATTAAAACATGCTACAAGACATATATGCACAAAGTTATCCATATCACAACAAATGTGTACTGCAATCTTTCATTATTTGACTTTATCAAAAGTATTCTCATTCTAGAAGGTTTTCTTAACCTAAGAACTTAAGAAATTTCTTATTACAATCTACAAGGAAATACTCGTAACCAGAAGCCAACAACTTTTATTTCTATACTTCTTACAATAATAGTGTTAAGATTAACTGTTCAGTTTTATCACTTCATGTTTGTGAAACCACATAAAAGGACACCTGCTTATTTACAGTGAATTCATTGATCTTAAGGCCTCCTTTGAATAATTTATTTACAAAAACAGATTTCTTTGCATTTTATACAGATTTATTTAGCTATAAATAAATATACTCAGATTTGAAACTAAAACATTTGAAAGACATAATTACACCTAAAACTGCAGTTAAACAAATTTGCTTTGATTCATGTTTTCAGCAGATGCATGTTGAAAATATAGCAATTTTAATGGCCGTTTTTACATGTTAATAGGATGCTGAACACAAATAATGCAGATTTTCAGAAATTTTTATGGTGTTTAAAAAACTCATAAAGTTTTGGCTATTAATTTAGGGCCACGATACACATGGCTAAGATTTGTCAAACAAAGGTACCGCGCTCAACATAGAGCTAGCAGAACCTGACTTTATGTGTCTCTAGGTGGATTGAGGATTTCATTCAGAACATACATTTAGGGCATGACATGTCAAATGCTTCTGGATATAGCTTACACTTACTGAATATATGTATGGTCTGTTGATTCTTTTGTGGGCACACTTACCTCTAGAAACCCTGAAGAAAAAGTAAACCTCAACAAAAATTTTCAAACTAAAGATACATGGTGTTTGGAGAAGGCTGTTTATATTTTAGCCTTAAATCAATTTTAATCATAAGGTTTCCCTTATATAAAGCTGTGCACTAACATCATGTAGCCAAATTTTGCATTTATTTTACCAACAAAACTTCTAGTGATATTGTACACACCAATTTCTTCACATGTATATAGGTTTAATTTCCTGAAATACTCTAGTATACTAACGCACATAAACTTTTGCTGCCAAACACTTTAGTTGTGTTTGTATACACAGTTTTTAATACCGGCTGCTGGAAAATAGTCCAGGTTTCTGAAAAGAAGCTTTTTTTAAAAAAATTATCTTAGTTTGAAGATAAATATTGTTAAGCATGAATTTATTCTTTATTTTTTCGTTTTCATTTTTTCATTTCAGACTGACAAGCAGAAAGGTAGACTTGTTTTCCTTAAAACAATTATTTTAACTAATCAGTCTGTTTATCAGGTATTTTATAGAGAAAGTGTAACCACCATAAGAAACTCCAAACTAGCAATATTGACCTAAAAATACAGGAACGATCCTATTTTGTAAACACAGAATTATTTAAACTGTATTTTCAATCACATTGCATCACCTGCTTTCTGAGAAAGAAAATTACAAAGAAACAAAAGACTGATCAAAGTAACCTTTAACATTTGTGACAATCATGGCAAACACAGAAAACAA